AAGTAAAAATGTAAATATAATTTTTTTTTATCATATATTATTTTTTTTTTATTATAATATATATAATAGATAATTAATATAGATAATTTGAAAAAAATTAAATAAAAAGGTATTCAAGTTTAAGATGGAAATATTCCTAAGCATAGGCATGGCGGAATAGATTGCTGACAAAAAACGTTAGGGGAGGGTGGGGCAAAACGGCCCTTCTTCAATTGTCAATAACTTGTGAATGACATTGTGAAAATCCCCAGTTTCAACTTCATTTTGAAGATAATTTTTCATTCTTCAATACGAGCTCTAACTCATCCCAATCGGATTATTGAATCGGAAAATATTGACGATTGAAGGGGAGCCGTTTTGCCCCATCCTCCCCTACATTCTTTTTTTAAAAGAGGATCAGAAATTTTATATTTGGAAATGAATATTATTTGTTCAATGTGAAAAAATTGATCATCATTTTCGCTATATTGCATACAGATTCTCCTATCCTTATCCTGAAAAATGTTAGATAATCTCATAATTCTTGCTATTAATTCTAATTAATTCTAATGAACATTAATATCAATAATAAATTCAGTAGTGAAGTGATCAAACACTTTAAGTCAATTCCCCTCTAGCGCCAGTTCTCGATAAATATCTCAAATTCTAAAGGAGTTGGCAAAATTTTCCTAAAAACCTTTTTGTAAAGAAAAGTGAAGACTATCGAAAAAGATCTTACAAAAATATTGCTATCTTTCTTAAATTCCGAGTTATTCAACAAAAACTCAACTGGGAGCTAAGTCGACTTAAACCGATTGACCACTTTACTACTGAATTAATAATCGTCACTGTACAGCCATCACAATCCTAACCCTGAGGGTCCCCTCAGTGTCCCCTCATCTCCCAAAAAAAGGCCCCCCACTGAACCTCCATCCCCCATCTATTATTCACCGCGCAAAAGTGTCGGCTCTCGTTCATTGAAATGCAAGAATATCTGTTGCTATTGAAACGAACAAAGCAAACGTCCTTTCGATTGCTTTTTCATGACTGAAACCCCTTGAAATACGAAACAAATCATCTGAAAGTATAATGACAATGCCATTAAAAAAAAAATGCGCCCGGGAAATCTGAGTGCAACTGAAAATATTTGATTACACGCCAGTGACAAAAGAGAGACATTCAATTTTTGCATGAACATCTCTCTCAATAGATGTATTTGGGGGAGAGTTTTTCCTCGATTGTACTGTGGCTCCATTGCTTTCTCTCCTCAACAAAAAATTGAGAGGTGGTAAACCCACCCACTCTCGTGAAAATACTATTTACCACGGATTCACCTCCATCGCGAAAATAATCTCAGCCCCTTACCCCTCCCCCGTCTTCCCACACGTCTCATGGAAAAGGCATACTATAGCATTCCCCTTCTAGACTCCATTAACGGTGGTAAATGTCGTGGAAATTCGGTTATAAAAGTAAAGCCACCGGCTTCAACCCACTAGTCTCAGTGAGGCACTAGAGGGGATAGAAAATATGTAGAAGCTTGAGTGAATCGTTTTCAAGGACAGAATAAGTTTGATGTGAAATATGTCACAACTGTTTTGTAAGAAAATTTTGGAACAAGTTCATTTTTGCGAACCTGCTTGTCTCAAGTTTTTAGTTTATAGTCGGACAATTGCATGGATATTTATTGGCATTGGGTGGACATCACGTAAGAATTAGTTATGAGGGAAATTTAAATTATTGCATAGAAAAAAAACTCATTATGAGAGATAAAAAAACATTTCCCTCAAGCCAATAATTTATTTGAATTTAAACTTGAAAATGAAAAAGCGTTTATTCGGCTCCAGTAGAGGATTTATCCACAATTAATGAATTATTGATTTCGAGTAATTCAAACGTTTCAATTGAGATAAATATACGAGTTTACTAATGTTAAACAAAATTTGTTGAAATGGGTAGACAGTGTTATGTCCAGAGAAGGATTTTAGCGTCGAATGGACATGTTTTAATTGTCACATTAAAATCAAAGCTAAAATGAGCGTTAACCCCTTAAATTGTATGGTGCAACGCTTGAATTTTTGCTGATCAGGCAGCAACAGCATGGGCTATGCTAACTGGTCTCAATTCCGTTGAGTTTACGGGTGGAAAATGTATGTGGACGAAGTAAGATTGGGAAATGACGACGGAAAGTTGGCCATTTCTCAATATTGGATTCACTAATATTTAGAACGATGATGAATTCCCAATAAAATGATGAAGAATTATTTTTGGACGTTACAACAGTTTTCCACTTGTTTTTTCGTTTTTAATGTATTTGTCAGGAGGTACTGACAATTAAAGACGATTGAACATGACTTCACAGGTGAATTTCCTCGAATTCGTTTTCTCACAAATTGTTTTTCAATAAGACAACCGAAATCATACGAAATATTTATTGATCAATGAATAACTTCATAGCTGAATGCCTCTCACCTCGTTGAAAATAAAAATTCATCTGTGTGGATAGCGCGCGTTGAGAAGCGGTGGAAAAAGAGGGGACATTTTCCAGCGCTGCGAAAAATGAATCGTTCACGGATCACTGGAGTGATTTTTCATCAAATTGAAAATTCCAGGAGTATGAAACGAAAAAACAAAAATATTTGGTGTTGCCTCAAAAGAGAAGTGGATAAATGAAACAATGCCGAGTGGGGAGAATGAATCAATCATAATGGGGTGCAGAAAGGGGTGGCGAAAGCCCAATTGCCGTGATTAAAAGTCAGTGGACAAATTTATTCGAGTGAAAATGTATGTCAGTTGTTGAGGCTTTTTTTTATCCTTTCAAGAACGATTTTTTTAATGATTTTTTGGTTATAAAGACCAGATTTGTGACAATAAACTGTTATTCCATACTTTCTTCAAATTGGTTTATGCAGTAAATCATTCCTGAACTTTTTACTTCTTCGGTCTCATCATTTATGTCACATTACGCCTGAATTCCAAGTGAAATGTTAAATTTTAATGTTAAAAGAGAATTGAGTACCGTTCTATAAAATACGAATAAACAAATCATAATTGTCCAAATCATTTAGGTCAAAGGAAAATCTAATAACTCAATTCTCTTTTTTTTTTTATTTAGAGCAAGCTCTATTCTCTTAATATTGCGTTTACTAGAATAAAAAATACAATGAACGAATAGCTTAAGTATGCGCGTTCCCTTTCTAGTATTATAAAACTCTAAATCAAATTATTTGAAACAATATCATAAATATTTCGGTAATTCCCATTAAATAAACAAAATGGTAAAACTATTAAATTTCTCACGCATCGAGTTTTTCAAAGCCTAAAAAAAAATTTCAATAGTTCTTTCACTGAAAAAAATTGTAACAAATCCCCATTAATAAAAAGATTATTAGCAATATTATTAAACAAAAAAATGAGTAAAATATCACGGTTAAATTCTGAAATTGCCTACGAAATTTCTCAAAGTCTAAAAAACAAATTTCAATAATTCTCGACCTACACAGAGAGAAATTTTTTTGAAAAATTCTAGTACTAGCCCGGGAAAAGAGGCGCCGTCACTAGAAATTTTATTGGAGCAAACGTGAATTTTTCCCCATATTTCTGTAAAAATTTCACAGAAATCCCCAGAAATTCTACCAGAAATACCAAGAAATTTGACTAGAAAGTGACTATTCTAGTACTCGTACTAGAATATTTCTAGAATATTTCTCTCCATGTAAAAAGATGGTAAAAAATATATCAAGAAAAATGATATTCCATCAAATTGAAATGACGATTCCAACTGATCCCACCTCAAAATGAATTGCGGAATCTCTCCATTGATCGTCCATCACAATAAGAAGTAACATGAAAGTCCCCTGTATCACTACTCCCAAGAGACTATAACCAAACTTCCTATTGAATATAAAATCATGGATAGAAAAGGGGAGAGATTTTCAGTAAAACCACCATGGTCCACTCCTTATCAGTTCACGTTCGATGCATAAAGCATAAAGTTGCTATCTCATGCATACATTCATACTGTGAAAGTCATGACTTATGGTTGTTCCGAGTATATGGCCACTGGAGTGACTGAGTGAACGTATATATCGTCATATACATGTATCCGTACTATTGGGAGTGAGACCTGTAACACCATCGGGGTGAAGGGGGGGTGGGGAGGGGGGTTGGGGAGGGGGAGGGG